TTAGAGTTGCAGTTGTTGTTTTTTCTATTGTCCTTTTAGAAATGTTATCATAGTTCTGCAGTGGCGACGAGCTATTCAGGAGCATTGTACAGTCTGTTTGGAAATGCTGAATGGTTCTCTTGGCAAGTCACTTCTAGGTCATTCTGCTTGTTCAGCTCAGCCTCAGAGGTCAAGGCTGTCCATCTCTGCTGCTTTCACCCTGGTTTTATTTAAACATACTGACGTGGGGGGTTTGTTTTCCATTTTGACAGTTTTGATTGCAGACTTCTCATTTTGAGGGCTAGGTGTTGTCACTTCTCTCTGGCTTCACTGTAAGGAAGTAGAGGACTGTTGAGTTATTTGGAATTTGTGGTTAAATATTCATCACAGATGTGTTTTAACTGTCTCACCGGCCGAAGGTGTGATTGGTTTCTTAATAAATGATTGAGCTGCTTTGTTATGTCAGTTTTAGCATCAGTGGTTGGCGCTCTCAGAGTGAGGTCGGAGTTTTTAGGTAAAGGAAGACAAGTTCTTATCCCCTTTTTTTTTTTTTTTTTTTAAATCTACAGCATGTCTCATTGTACTTGCAGATTTTTGCTTTTGTCTGTCATAAATATTTACTGCTACTAAATTGAGAGGGGCTAAAATAACTTGGTTTTTTTGGTTTTTTTAAATGAATAATGTGAGGGTTGCACAGAGGTTCAGTGTAAGTAAATACAGATTAGTTTTAACAGTGAATCACGCAGAGTCACTAATTAATACTAAATGAATAATTAGCAGACAAATCCCCTTTGACATCTGTTCAAGGTGGAATAATGATGGATAGTTTTACTGATAACAGTAAAACTATTGGTGTTTTATATCTGTGCCATCTAATTGAATTATTCCCTGATACTTTATTACCATCCTTAAGAGATTCACTTTAATATCTGCTTTCATAGATTTAAATATAATAATTGCTTATGAAGGTTTTCTCTTGCTTTTGGAAAGAGTTTGGATCTTGCTGCGGTCTGAAGGTGAGTCCAGAGATGGATTTGAACAGACTGCGCAGATCCGTTACTCAGCTGTTACATAAGATGATCACTTTCAAGTTTCAAAGTCATGCAGCACCATTTTCATATGGCACCGTCATTAAGCGAAACCAGCAGCTGCTGGGAAGTAGGAAGAACGCATTCAGCTTCTGCTTTGGAAAATTGTTTAGTATACAGTTTACTGGAGCTGAAAGTGAAGTGGATAGTTTATGCCTGTCTGCCCATGGACTCTTTTTATTTTTAAAATCACGACCATGTTTTTTTTGTTTTGTTTTGTTTTTTAAAGTCAGAACCACAACAACTCGTCTGTGTTTGGCAGCTGAACTATTAAATATTCAGATGACACTGTTTCTCTAGCTCTGCTGCGGCTCATTCTTATTTACTTGACACACATTCAGAAAACTGTGGGGACTGGAGCACGCTGATTAGTTCACAGCTGAACAAATCACATATTACTGTCTGTGTCAGAGGGTGATGTCACAGTAGTGAATTAATCAGTCCTCTTAAGGTTTGCTGTTTCGTTTGGCTGCATGGCCTGAAATGATCATTTTATCTCTCGTGAGGAAAAGCTTAAACTACCTGCTTTGTAAACTTTAATGTCTTTAACTCTCCTAAGACATTAGGAAGACTGCCCTAATATAGTTGCATGCCTCATTGAACTGCTGTCTGTATCTGTGTTTGATGACTCTCTTAATCTAGAATCAGCCATGCTTCGCCGCGAAGGCCTTAACTGTTTGTCAATCCAGTCCACCACCCATGTCTGAGAAACAAGTTACCTGGATTTTAAAGTGCATGTGAAGAACAGAGCTGGCTTGACTTGCTGTCTGGCATATTTGTTTATATGCCATTACTAGGCATGTAGTCTTGGCTTGTGACTGTTCTGGGTTCACCAGAAGAATCACGGCTGTGAGCAGTCTGGTGTCAGTATGTGCAGTGTGATGTTCGCATTAAACAAATATACTTTCATCCTCTCTTTTAGCTCTGTTCGGTCCATTTGCTTCATTTGTGTCTATGGCACATGGGTGGGTTTGTTACAGTTGTAAGTGGAGGGGGGGCAAACGGTTCAGCTGATGTCCTCTCACTGCCCTGAACCCTGCCTGCTAGCCTCCCACCCACTGCCCCTTGGTAATGCATAAAAGAATTACAGCAGCCACTGTAAACAAAGAGTGCATTTGTAGTGCGGTTGATGGCTGGCTTTCTCTTGTTTTTTGCATTGACATTCATGCTTTTGTTACTAGCTGTTGTGTTCTTCTGTGAAACAGCGTGTACGTCTGCTGTTAGGGTAAACGTTTCACGCAGAGTCCTTGTTTTTGATTTTAACAGTGATGGTACAGCATCGAGCTGTTATTAAATTAAGAGATACAAAACATTGAATATGCTTGTACTGAACTCAAGAACTGATTGCTAACAATAACAGTTTTATTTAAAAAAAGAAAATGTAAAGTACCAAATACCCTATACTGAGCCCAGCTGCTGTTAAGTAGGAACCCTAAATAGTGTTTTCCAAGAACCTTGCACTTTATTATTAGCAAAGATTGGCAAAGTGAAAAAAAGGTCCAAAATCCCTAAGGAAAGCACAAGGTGTGTGGACTGCAGCGCTGTATAGTGGTTTCAAAATCACGTACCATGCTGCCCAATGTCTTTCTACAGAGAAATCACTTAATTTCTGACACAAAACAGGCTAAAATACAAAAATGTAACTGTAGAAAAACAAGAGAGAGACAGACTTACTCAGGCTGGTATGGCCGGATTTGGGCTCTCAGCACCTGGTATTCCCATCGGCTGTCTCCCATTCAAGTATTAGCCAGGCATTACCCCACTTACCTTCTGACATCGGAAAAGCTCGTACTGTGTTGGCTCTGCGACAGACTGGAAATATGTCCAGGTTGATACATTTGTAAGTGATGACACTTCTGATTTCTGATCCCCACAAAGATGGAGAAGTCAACAAGCAGGGAGTTTTCCCCTCACACTCACGAGGTTTGCTCAATCACAATTTGGGGCAAAGTCATGCACTTTCTTTTATTTTCAGTTTATGCATGTTCAGCAATCTGCATTTTCCGACATGGTTTTGAGAGATTTTCAGACAGTCGGTGTAATTATGCTCTTTACCTCTTGGTCTATGAATACTGAATTCTATGAATGATGCATTTTTATTTGTTTGTTTGTTTGTTTGTTAGATGGGCCCTGTGGTATTTCAAAAACGACAAGAGCAAAAGCTGGACAGAGAACTTGCGTCTCATTTCTAAATTTGACACAGTGGAAGATTTTTGGGCGTAAGTTTTCTCTGCTGAAGTTATTGATGGTTTATTATTAATGTGCACAACATGTCCCTTAATGGTAATGTCAATCAGGGTCAGCATGTTTCACTTTACTGATTGTTGTTTAATGACCATTGTTCTGATAAAAGCTTCTGAAATTCTACAATTCGACACACTCATGTTAGGAATTTACTTTTTCATCTTTCTACCAGATTATACAACCACATACAGCAGCCAAGTAAACTCGGCTTTGGCTGCGATTACTGCTTATTCAAGGTAAGGCTCTTTTTTTGTTTTTTATGTTAAATGTTTACACATTTTCCCTTAAACTCAGTTGCAGCAGAGTCTAAAGACATGGATAGGGTTTAATAGCTGCTTCATATTGTGCGTCAGGATGGGATCAAGCCCATGTGGGAGGACGACAGGAACAAGCTGGGGGGTCGATGGCTGATGACTCTCAACAAACAACAGAGGCACAATGACCTCGATCGCTACTGGATGGAAACGGTAAGACGGCTGTTTTCTGAAACCACTCAGAGTCGTATCCATTGGATGTTTCCCCTGATGGTTGTGATTTAAATATAAATGTATATATGTATAGTTTGACTTTTTTTGTGCTTTTTGCAGCTGTTGTGTTTAGTCGGTGAGTCATTTGATGAGGCAAGTGAAGACGTCTGCGGAGCTGTGGTCAACGTCAGACCTAAAGGTGACAAAATATCCATCTGGACGAGCAACTGCCAAAACAGGGACGCCATCATGACGATAGGGTGAGCCTTTAAAGTCACATTACTCATAATACGCAAGTAGGAGCTACAGTGGACCACTAGATGGCAACACTGAGCTTGCTTGAGTCTTCACACCGCTTCCATCTCATCTCTTCACAGGCAACTTTACAAAGAGCGTCTCAACCTCCCCATGAAAGCCATGATTGGCTACCAGTCGCACGACGACACGTCCAGTAAGAGCGGCTCCACCACCAAGAACATGTACTCCGTTTGAAAAAGCTCCTCATTTCAATTTGCTGTAGATTTAAACAATTGCCGATCTGCGTCATCACATTAATTTTTGAGTTGTCAACTACTGTAGTGTCCTTTCCTTTTATTGCTAAGAGAGTTGTTCATAGCGTGTACAGCTGGAGCTTCTCCCAATTCAAGATGCCAGCGGAGCGGTTGTTTAAAGAAAAAAAAAAACGGGGAGGAAGGGTATCGGGCTTGAGATGTTGTACGACGAGTAAGAGAACACACGATGATTTACTTTTAGAGTTGAAGACTTCTGTGATTAATATCAGTGACCTCTCCTAGCTTAGCTGAGAACAAGCTTTTTTTTCCCAATACTTAATGGCTTGAGTTGTTTAATTAAAAAAGAAAGACTTAACTATAGGGCCTTGTGTTTCTCTCATGCTGAGTTCTCACTCTTTACAAAAAGTGTTTCTCACCTCACAGGAAAAAGAAGGCAGGCAACTCGTCCTCATACAGAACAAATTTTAAGGGCAATTTTAACTTGATTTATCCACAAGTGTTGAGCATGAGCCGGGCTTTCAGACGCACCAGCTTAAATAATCTACAGTATCTTAAAGGTTTGTAAAAGCTGTGGTCACACTCCAAAGTGTAGGGTTTGGATTAAGGCCACTTGTTGTTTCAGCCATGCTGGAATTGTGGGATATTGCTTGTAGGTTTTGTTTTGGTTTTTTCCTCAACTTTTTTTCTCTTCCCTTTACATTTATTTATAATGTATGCATTGCAGTTACTTAGTTGAAAGACAACCATGAAGCTCGTGTTTTTTCAAATTGTTCTTTTTTTTTTTTCTTTTTTGTTATTAAGGTTAATAATGTGGACTACTGCATATAGATGACATTTTTTACAGTGTACCATACAGTAAAGATGCCGACAGAATTAGGTGTGCTTTTCACTGTTTTCTTCCTAACAAAAACTGTAGATAATGTCGCACTCCTCTCTTGGTTGTTGCAAAAGAAAGATGATATTCATTGTGAAATGATTTTGCTCATAATGTATCTTTATTATCTGTAATTCCAGGATGTATATTACCTTCTTTCAAGTAAAGTTTAAGTGCTTTGCATTAAAACCAGAAGCGTGTTGTTTTGTTTTGAGGTTTTTAAAGTTGGCAAACTTGCTTTCTTAAACACTAAGCTGATTTTTAAAATTCCGTTTTGACTACCATTTGTGGTATTTACCAACTCCTGGGAACAAAAATCTGACTTTTTAGTAAGTGCTATAGTGAGAAGCAGCTCGGGCTAATGTCATACTCATGAGGAAAAGTTAAAAGTGACCAAAAACTCACAAGCTTTGCAGATTTGTTGAAAATGATGGAAACTACCACAAAAAAAATGTAGCAGCAGTATATTCTGAGGAAGTTATTTTTCAGTTCCACACAGAGGAGAAATGTATGAAGTGATGCTGTGTTTTCGTCACAGCTGGATTCAAGTTGTTGGCTTTCTTTTTTGCGAGCAGAATCTACAGATACACCCAAACTGAAGAGCAGCTAAAATGACAGAATCTGGAAGACGGGGGGGAAAAAGTGCATGAAGCCATAAAAACACATTTCAGCTTTTCAAAAGAGATGGAAGTATATTTAACTTTTACATTCTAATGAAAGTTTAGAAAAATGCACATTTTTAAGTTTTTTATTTTTAATCTGAATAGAAAAATGTCAGAATACCTCTCAGCATTGTTAACATGTCTGGTCAGAAAATTTTCAAAATACCTTTTAGCTACTTTATAAACTTTGAAAAGTGACGATTCAACTATACACCTGTAAATGTTTCGATGCTCATCAGTGTCTGGGTCAACATTTTCCAACTATGTGCTGGCAACTGATCAAGAGTAGAATAAAACAATAAATGTGAAGCAAACAAACTGGTTCAAAATACTGTATTAACGTGGGACACATAGAGGCATGAAACTATTCTTTCCTTTTTAACTTTACAATTTATAAATCACTACTCCGGCTTTTCCTCTAAAGCACACAGACACTGAAATACATCGAACAGACCACAGTGAAAATCTCTGGAATGGAAAGGGTACTGACAACATCACCTTAAGTGTATGTAGCCAAGATTGCTTGTAATGTCCATTGGTCTATCGCTAGACCAGCTGCGGCTGATGACGCTTATTATTTTTTACTGTCGTTCAAGTTAATCATCCAGTCAAACAGGATCTTATAGCGTCATGGAGACTTTTATTGTTTAAAAGGGTGTAAATAAAAGTCCTCCACCCTTTTAGCTCCAAACGCAGATATGTTTATCAGCACGGTGGCATGACTTCCTTGTGTGAAAGTAATACATCCCAAAGGGTTATGGAAGAGCTGTTACCTAACACAAAACTTGATCTGTGAGGGGGTTCTTTTATTTTGTTTTTTTTTGTTTTTGTTTTTGTTTTTTTACAAATTTTTCATTACAAAAATGATTGCACAACAAAAATAAGCTGTTCTGTAGATGGGGCATCTGCGTGAGATACAATCCAGCTGGTATGATTGTTCGTTTGGTTCAATAAATATGGAAAAAAATTAGTAAAGAAGACCATCCAATCCAATCCATCCAAGAAAAGGAAAAAACAAAACACTATTGGTCCTTCAGCCACGATCCAGCCACTGTAGTAACAGATGTCCTTCTTGCAGCATCCTCACTTTCTGCATTGTTCAGCTGGATCCTGGCAGCCTTATATCACGACATCGTCATAATCAAAGGCTTTACCTCATCTTGTTTGTTCAACAGATTCGAGAGCATATAGGACGAGAAGAAGAAAAATTCCACGGCGTAGCTGAGCTCAAACAGCTCCAGGTTCATACTCAGCATCCACTCAAAGACAGCAGACAGATGGATGTAGAAGTACTCGCTCTGAGCGAACAAGACAGTATCTGAAGGTTCTGGGTTAAGGGTGTTTCACTGGTCTACTGATGGTTAAAACTATGGAGGACATAGAGCTTACACATTTCTTTGACAAAAGAACATAGCTATATGAGGCGAAACTGTGTTTCTATCATTAATGTGGGCTAATTTGGGATTAAATACACTCTTATTGGATGAGCATGAATCAGCTGCATGGGCCAGCTCTTCCTGGAGTTCTCCCACACCTGACTACTGTGTGCATACATCAGGGGCAGAGTTAGCACATAGTCATGGCAACCACAACTTAAATCTGCTCAACAATCTAGCCACCCTTTGCAACCAATGAGACACGTTTGACCTTTACTCATAGAACTGAAGTTACAGTCAGTAACCATTCGTCTTTGGCTATTGTTCTCATACACACACACAGCACAGCAATCCGTTTTATTGTAAACCTCATGAATGTTGTCACATAAAAAAAAAGAAAGAATAACTTCCCCAATCACTGCAGACTGATATCAGCAACTAACCATACGTAAAAATATACAAGAAACCCATAAAAGTAAGTTATAAAAGTGAGGAAAGAAAAACTCTGCTACTCTGCACAGTCAATAGATTCTGTATTCCTGATGTTAAATCGTGCTCTTCTGTACTCAAAGAGCTTCATGCAACATGCCTCATTCACCCATTCACACAAACACCTTTTCCCTATGCTTAAATGCCTTGTAGCTAACATTCACACACATTCATACTCCCATGGATGCATCAGAGGGCAGCTTTTGCTTAGTATCTTGCCCAAGGGTAATTGACATGCAGGCTAGAGCAGCCAGGGATCGAACCACTAACCTTCCAATCAGTTGATGACCTGCTCTACAGCCACCTCAATCACCGAATCTCTGCTAAATGCTAAATGAGGTGTCTAATGTTTCATTGCTGTGCATCTGATCCCATAGATCTACAAGGTTGAGGACAAATGTAAAGCTAGAAGGAAAAGGAAAGGAAAGCTATGGTTAATAATTCACTAAAAAAGGTCATTAATGTGTATCTGCTTCTGTCATGTGGACTTCTGTGGCCGGTCCCACTTGGTAAACACAGGAGCTGACCGGATCCAAATATGTCCCAGTGTGTTATAACTCATGCATTAGTTCTAGAGCTAGCTGCTGAAATCCCTTGTTTAAAGGAACACCAAATTAACCCATCAAAAGTTTACTATTAACCTGCGTGCTTAACCAGCCACAAGGTCGATGGGTATGGCTTAAGAAACAACAACAATAAAAATAAAAAATAAAGTTGGCTCCATGATTTGTGAAAGGATACAGATGACGGTCACAATTACTTGAATCACAGTGGAGATGATTCGCAGTGGGTAGAGAACCTTTTCATATCCAGATAGGGCGCACTTCCCTGTCAGCACGGTGAGAATGGCCGTGTAGAAGCACGCGCACATGAAACTGATGGCAGCCCCGAGGTAGTGGAGGAGTGACACGTGAAACGGCTGTGGAGGACATTCACCATCAAATCCAGCGAATAATAGCAGGCTGTTTAAATCAAGACTAAGATTGCGAAAGGTGTTGGCATGTGAGCAGAGATGGGCAGTAACGCGTTACTGTAATCTGATTACTTTTTTCAAGTAACGAGTAAGGTAAGGGATTACTATTGCAAAAACGGTAATTAGATTACAGTTACTTTCCCGTAGGAACGCTGCGTTACTGCGTTACTAAAACCGTGATTTTTTGCGAGAATGTCTCACGACAGCTGTGTTGGTGACAACAGCTGTGTGCAGATCAACAATGGATCACATATCGATTGTGGGAGAGAGTATGAGCGTGCAGCGTTTAAAGCGTGGAAGTACTGACCTTACTTTGAGTTTGATTCCATAAAAAGTGACAAAAACATTAGCGTCCATCGTGCGTGGGAAGAAAACTTCTTTTTACAGCGAAAAAAACCCCTAAACTTCCAAGCAAGCACCGAGTGCGCAACGACGTAATGGGAAATTCACAGAGAAACTCGCGGATTCTTCAACTGACCGCGGCACACCTGCACCAGGGTAAACCTCCGCCTACCCAGTCCTGCTTTACAGGTGAAAATAGAGCAACAGGACCGCTGAGTCTTTGACTTTATTTATTTTCTGCTGTGTTTTACTTGCATCTATTTGAAAGACTGAGTGTAAACACAAAAAATATTTTATTTTATGTGCTGGAATGTGCAGAAAATAGGTTTAAATGTTAAACTAATTTCTTCCAGTCAGAGAATGTTGCATATAATTAAATGTTTTGCTTGATAAAGTTAAAAGATTAAAACTAATAAAACAAGTTAAAAAAGAGACTTTTCCATTTGATTACATTTTGTATGATGGATTATGTAGAAAAAGTAGAATTGGGCTGAAAGATCTATCGCTTTATCACCTATTCAGGTTGTAAATCGTGTTTTTAAAAGTAACTAAGTAACTAAGTAATTAATTACTTTTGAAAATAAGTAATCAGTAAAGTAACGGGATTACTTTTTTGCGGAAGTAATCAGTAATTAGTTACTGATTACTTTTTTCAAGTAACTTGACCAACACTGCATGTGAGTGAGTACTATCAGGCAGTGTGCAGTGAAAAATACGATGTCGCCGAACAGGTTTATGATTTGAAACATTTTCCAAGTATTTGGATGTCCTTAAACCCTTTGTTTTAATTATAACTGGTTTCCTTTCATTCCTGCTTCACTAACTGATTTTTCTAGAATCGTTTTGTCACTACATGTAAGTGCAGTATAACACTACAGATCACGTAGCAGAGTGTCATATTTGCCCTTTAACACACTAAAAAACACTATAAGCCAAGCATAAATGGCACTTTAGTGTGCTTGGGCTCTCATTATAGATGGCCTAAAGCTACAAGATACCCGCCTTTATTTGCTGTTTTAGCACAAGCGCAAACAGAAATTCTCATTTAGATCTGAAACAATGTAACCCTGCAGAAACACCGCTGCAGTATGACGTTCGGCACTTACGTTGCAGTTTCCGGCTGCGAATGCCCCCATGGCTGCAATCACACCAAAGACCAGTGCAAATTTACTCAGCATGGACTGACTTGAGTGCCTCTCCATTATATGGGCATGGTGGAATATGCAGAACAGGAAAACTAAAGAAGAGATCGCAGTTGGTGTGACACACATCCCTCATACATATATATGTGTGTATAATGGTTTAGGCATTTAGCAGGTAAACTCACACATGAAGGATCCGGCGTTGATTGTGGCTGTAAAAAGTGAATTTTCTGGCGGATATGTTCCACTTGAGCTGAAATAACATATTTAGTTTGTTTCATTCTGTCTCAAGATTTCATTCCAGGGAAGAAGAAAAATAAACGGGTGCATTTAGTCTTCTTTTACCTTATTGTAGGAACCCAGCAGCATCCAGCATCAGTATGATTAGCCCTGCAGTAGTTGCCGTTACCCCTGAAAACAAGTTAATTCCATTTTAGAGGCTGCATTATTAAATAAACACTGGGTCATATTTAAAACAAAATGAGGATGATTTAAAAAGTCACCAGTCAGTGAGGGCGCACACATGATTGTTGGAGAAGGCTAGCCCGTATCTGGAAATATAAAACAAAAGAAAAACTGTTAAGAATCTGCAAACATCAAACCAGAAATGCTTCCAAGGAAGTGTCACAGCATGTAAGCATCAACGCCAAGCACGTTTTCAGTTTGGTGTGACTCAGTCGTTAAAGTCGTTTGTTCAACAAGATTTTCTTTTATGAACTTAGTGACAGACACAGTTCACACCCTGCAAACGGAACAAGCCGGCTCACATATTTTCAAACTCCAAAGCAGGTGAGTTCTGACGTGCCTTTACATTTAGAAGCTGCTCTGACGTCGACGACTGTTTCCACAGACGATGTGCAGATAAAACAGTACAATAAAAGATTGTGAAAAGCAGCGGAAATAATATGATGCCATTTTCTTTACTTCCTCTTCATGGCCAAATGTTATCAGCATTGCAGAAATCCCACTGATTTCTGAAAGTGCCAGGAAAACGCAGTTCATGTACTAAGCTTGACTATCAAGTACATGGTGTGACGTTATCGGGAAAAACATTCAGATATGAATAAACTCTGTTTACTAGTTTCACATAGAAAGAACATTGTTATGACTGAGTAAAAATGACATGTTTAAAAACGTTCCCACAGCTTTATGATAGTGTAAATGTCAAAAAACAAACAGTGAATCTGTAGTAAACTTACACACTCCACGTTCCAATGAAGGACACCAGGGAAAGACAGATGGGGAAAATAATCCACAACCCCATGTCTGGATGATGATGACGACAAGCAGCAAAGAGACGGATTCCAGAGGTCCAGCTGTCTTAAAAATACTCAATGTCAAGCCTCTTTGGGGGGTTTATAGAAGCCTCATGCAGTCAGCATTATATACAATCAGTACTAGAACAGAAAACCCCCCAAAAAAATCCTAACTTCAAGTCCTTGGAGCAGACGTTTGCACTGCTGTTGTTAGTTTAGTCTTCCTCCATCCGGAGAACTACCTCCCTTTTAAATCAGACTGTCTCTGCCACTCCTTCAGGGCACCACCTTGCTGTGTTACAACAAATATTATGAAACACAGGGTTGGTCTTCTTGTCACATTATTTGTTTTGTCGACGGTCTCCCTTCTATAGTCCTTGCCAGCTACTGCTCTGTTTGACACGTATTAAAGATAAACTCAAACAGTAAATGTTTGGAGTTGTGCACAGATTTGAATTTATGAGAATTTTCCAATGAATGGCTGGTAGGATTATTAGATTAGACAAGCTTGGAATGCTTTAAGCCCCGTGTCTTGTCTTTCCTGTCAGGTAGGTGGCTACGTGCACCCTGTACAGTCATTTCAATAAATATGAATTTCAGGTACTTGTACTGTACATGTGTGTGTGTCTGTGCTGTAGTCTCTTTTATACTACATAACATTTATTCTCTACTACATTTTGGAGGAAAATATCCAATATTTGTTTTCTACATTCCCCACATAAAGTACTGTGCAAAAATCTTGAACAACCCAAACACTGGGAAAAGGCTGAGATGTGCCAAATTATACAAGAAAGTGGCAAAAGATCTTATGGACTGATGAATCCAACTTTTTGTTTGAAATCATCATCAATATGTAGGGAAGAGGTCAGGAACGAGGTACAGCAGTGAGCGTCTACAGCCGTCTGTTAAACACAGTGGGTCCCCTGTAATGGTTTGTAGCTAAATTTCACCCAGTGGTGTCAGAAAACTTGTCAAAACAGAGAAATACCATCAGATTTTGATCCACTGTGCAATACCACGTGTCAGCATGACAATGATCCCAAACACACACAGTAAAAGCATAGCCTAACAGGAAAAACACACACAAACACTATCAGTCATGGCCTTCCTGGAGCCAACACCAATTTTGAGGGGTTTTGTTTTGTTTTGTTTAATTTTGCACACTTGCACGTTATGTAGTCCTGTGCTGATTGCCTGTTATATGTTATATATAGCACCATGGTCTTGAAGGAACGTCTTGCTTCTCTGTGTACTGCACATGGTTGAAATGATAATAAAGCCACTTGACTTGACTAAACATCACTGAAGCATTGAGGGGAAAAAACAGGCAGGGAACAGAACAAACGGCAGATAGCGTCAAACGAAGAGCTTTAAATGTGCTTCAAGAATTCTAGGCAACTATTCATGAAGGCTGCTTAAAGAGGTGACAAGAAAGTAGGCTGAGAGTCTTCAGGCTGTGTTGGAAAATAAAGGTAATCATAGCAAATATTGATTTTCAAGCTAGTTAGAATGGTACAAACTACCTTTTGTCTCCTTTACTGTGTTTCTACGTCTTTGCACAAGTTTCAGTAAATTACTGCACCTGTTTCCTGTTTTCCTAACAAATGATCAAATGAGCGGTGACTCAAGACTTTTGCACAATACAGTATATATTTACTCAACAACTGAATTACAGGCTGCTCTTTTAGAATGCATTTAAATTGTAAATCCAACACTTATATTTATATTTGATTATCAATATATTTTGTTGTGGATCACTGGAGTGAAAATAATTTAATGATTAGTCCTTTCCTCACCTACTGGTTTAGGAAAAAGCAACCAATCATGTTTCGTTTTTAAACTTTTGAAAGTCATTGGTTAGCCTCCCTGAAGCATTACACATGGATGATCTAATAAATCCACAACACTTGATCACAGGGCAAATGAAAAATCAGTGTCAGATTATTTCTTTTATATTTCGGAATAATATAAATCCTCAAAGGAGAAATGATCACTCGTCTCTTCGGAGAAAAGATTTCTTTTAATTTATGGCGCATTCTTTGTTCTTAGTAACGTTGTTTCAACTCTGTTACACGGTGAGGTAACGCAATACTCTTTCAGGAGAGGATCGGGGTTTGGGGAGGCCGAAAGAGAAGTTCTAGGGCGTTATACATATTGTGGAGGTGCCAAGAAAAGACGCGGCAGCTCAACGTGCTGTCTGGCTGTCTGCCGCGTGGGGTCCTCATTTTCTAAACAAACAAAATGGCGGCGCGCATGAGATGGGGTCTTCAGCAGCTTTTACGGACAAGAAATACGGCTCACTTTAGGTTTGAACTATCCCCAGCGTTGATCCACCGTACTGTAATACCTATATGATGAGTCTGTGTAAAGCATAAACCAGTATTGCGACGCGTCTCTGCATTTGAGACAGAAATTAGCTTTTAGCCAGCTACATAGCTAGCAAGCAAAACAAATGGGACAAAGCTTTGTCTCCAGGCTAACTCATCCGCCTAGGTGTGGTTGGAGCTGTGGAAGAAAGTAGTTTAGTCTAGTGTTAGTTAGTTTAGTCGTTTTCACTGTGAAAATCACGTGGTAGCTGGCACACGGCCGCTAGCTAGTTAGCATAGTAAAACTTCATTGTTAGTGAGAAGGTTATTCCATGCATAACAACGCCACCCGTTTATATCCTGCCTCAATAAATGAATGAGTTGAGGGGATATAAGGTGTAATGTGTTCTTTGTGCTTCAAGGTTTCCACAGCCGACCAGATGTTCATACCACTCACTGTCCACGACTCAGAGCTTCAGAAGAGTCCAGCCTCACCTCGGGATAGGAGCCACACAATTCCCAAGTGAGAAACTCTTTTAGAAGTTTGAAAACCTTACATACGTTCACTGCATTATGTTATGCCTGAGCTGATGGTTATGTAATGTCTTACAGTAAGACACCTGTCCATCCAGACTCAAGATACACCGAACCCCAGAAGCCTGAAGTTTCTTCCCGGTAAACCCGTCCTAGGAAGTGGAACGCTTGACTTTCCTTCTCCAAGCTCGACTGGATGTTCTTCTTTAGCCAGGTTGTGTGTCAGACTTAGTGTTGCACTTCAAACACATTTGAAGCCTTGGGAGGCACGTGTAACAGGGCTAGCACTAAAACAAGAAGAATATACTGTATGCTCACTTCATAAGGTACACTGTGCTAATACTAGGTTAGACCTTGTTGGCTTCCTTGAATCATCCCTGTAGTCATAAAGGGATGGACATGCTTAGCACAAGACTCAGGTGAGCTGTGGTATTTAAATTATTCCCAGTTGGAACTCAGGAGTGTTTCAAGAGAATATCCCCCACAAAGTTATACCTCGAACAACCTGAACCATTAATATAAGGCAGGATGGATCCATGGTTTCATGTTGTTTATACTAGTTAATGACCCTACCATCTGAATGTCACAGAAATCAAGACTCAACAGATCAATTTTATTACTATTTACTATTGTCCAGTTTTGCTGAGCTCATGCAAATCGTAGCCTCAGTTTCCTGGGGGGCAGGTTTGAGCCTGTGTAGCCTTCCTGTGAGCTTTAAGCAGTTTGTCACTCACTGGCTATTTTCTCTCTCTCTCTCTTTTACCATTCTCTATAAACAAAAGACAGTTGTGCAGGAAAATCCCAGGAGATAAACCAGGCGCTGCAAACTCACGTCACACTACAAACACGTTGAGGGATTGGTTGTTAGTTCAGTGAGAGAGTTATTTGTAAAGAAAACCGTATTCGCTAGCAGTCAAAAACTAATGAGTACACTTATGTCTGCATTTTTAATTTATTAAATACGAACAAAATAATATCAGGAGTGCTGCCACGTATCTGGCCAGAAAGAGAGTGCCAATTTGTTTATTTGGTGGTTCAATAAAAGGCTTCAGATAGTTAAGAGTGAGGGGAAAAATTGCTTTCTTTGTGGGTGTTTTCTTGTTTGTTTTTAATACTACTTGAACACTAAAGTGGCTCTCCAATGAGATGACGGTGCCAGCAGTGGCCCTTAGCTCTGAGATAAACAGTTGCTGAAATATTTAAACCAACTCGTCTTGCACCAGCAACGATGCCACATTCAAAGTCACGATGTTCAAAGGCACCATTCTGATGCTTGGTTAGAACTTCAGCAGCTCATCTTAACTATGTGAATATGCTTAAATAAGTGGAGTTACTGCTATGTGATTGGATGTTTAGATATTTGCATAATGAACAGTTGCACAGGCGCACCAATTAAAGTGGTCATGAGTGTATATGTTATTCTTATTAAGTGCTTGCTTGCAGGCGGATATGAAAAATGGAAAAATGAGAGTCTGTACATTTACAATTTCAATGCATTCATGTCATGTTATTAAAAAAAGAATTCCCTATGGGTCATAGGTTTGAGTGTGAGGATATCTCTTTTGCTTTTATGCTTATGGTGTCTTCAGTTCTGATCATGATGGGGTATACGTATAGCTGATGTGACAGATGTACACCCTGAAAATAACATTTTGGTCCTCAGTGGATTCCTGAGGAGAGACACATCAGGTTCCTTTGCACATTGTCAGGATGTTTTTTTTTTCTTTGCTGATACTTTTAGTATCCTGAGTCTGATTTGTAATCACAAAACAGACCAAAAGGACTTCATTGTTTCATGATATGTTTTTTTTATTTCTTACTGAACATGATAATGTGTTTCTCTCAGAGACCTCTTTGAAATTGAAGGAGTACAGAGTGTGTTCTTTGGCCCCGACTTCATTACTGTCACTAAAGTAAGTATTTAATGTCCTCTTACAGTTTGTCTTTGTAGTTATAGTCTAATCATATAATACATGAGATGTTTGTTTTCCTATCAGACGGACGAGGATGTTGAGTGGACGGACATTAAGCGTCATGCTCTGGAGGCCATTGCTAAGTTCTTTGAGAGTGGTGAGCCGATAACAACGGGAGCAGTGCACCATGAAAGCAGTGAGTGTACAGTGTGAAAACATACAACTTTTTGACTTGAAATTGTGTAAATATTTTCATGTTTTACATTTCTCTTTACTGTAGGTCATTCTGAAGATGATGATGATATTGTTTGTATGATAAAGGAGCTTCTGGACACCAGAATCAGGTAGCGATTTCTCAGTACTGTTGAGAGCTGCTTAAGTAAACCACAGTTGCGCTTCAGAAAGTATTTATGGCACGGTAACATAATACCTTATTGCTTCACTCACGTTCACAAAAAAAGATGTTGTTAGTGTTCTAAGAGATAGTTGTGCTGAGATAACGGTCTTAATCTCTCTGTTTCTCTGTCCTGTTCTGTACCAATTGATACGGTCGCTCTTAATCACAAGACCTACAGTGCAGGAGGATGGAGGCGATGTCATCTTTAAGGGTTTTGAGAATGGAGTAGTCAAGCTGAAGCTGGTTGGTTCCTGCACAGGTTGTCCCAGTTCTACTGTCACACTGAAAAATGGGATCCAGAACATGATGCAGTTTTACATCCCTGAAGTGGACAAAGTGGAACAGGTGATAATCTATAGAGCCGTTCTGGGATAAGTTTTTGTGTAAACTCTTCTGATATCAAGTTTGAGAAACTCTTGTTTGGATAAATAAGTCATCACATACAGAAAATTCTGCAGTCACTTTAAAGCGGACTTATTAAGATCATTTCTGCTTCATATTTTTAGTCTTGGACTCTTCTAGAGTGGTTTTGTATTATTCATTTGTTCAAAATGATTGTTAGTGCGTCCCTTTACAAATGAGCTGTTTTGTTTATTACTCCTATCCAATTTTTCTTTCAAAAGTAGAAAAATATTTTAGCCTTTGCTGGTTTCATTATTTTAAACGTTAATTTTTTTGTTCCCCATTGAAAGCTACTGGAGCATAAATACTGAAATGTTAATGCTGGCTATTAAAGAAGGGGGTAATGCAGCTTGTTGCATGTGGGCTGTGTACAGTATCCACAGACTTGCATTTGCCTACAGAGGACACGTGAAGATCAGAAATCAATCATGGAACCAAGAGAGGATCATGGCGTGGTTTGATGAATTATGTTTTCCTTTAGGTCAGGCTTGATACCACCAGGATGCACTATATCAATATGAAGAAGGCAAGCTAGCGGAGGAATTGTGATTAGGAAATATTTTAGGGAAACCCTGGGTCCATGTGGATGTTACTTTTACATACACACATTTGCACTACACCTTCAGAGCTATTCTTGCCATACAAGGTGGCAAGAAGCAGGAAGCATTCATTTTACAGCTGATGGGTTTTCCAAAGCTCAGTTGCAAGCTCGGTTAGCTTGGTTTTAAAAGAAGAAAATAAAAATATCACTTTTATATAAAAATAATTTGTACATTCTCCCTTTTTTCCAGGTGGAAGATGAAGTGGATAAAATCAGTGCAAAGGTTTTCTCAGAAGTGGAGCGCAAATTGCAAGATGAGAAAGTTCCCCGGCCGACCCACTCATAGACTTTGTTATATACACAGCACTGTAGTATTTCCACATATTACTGTTCTAAATCACAATACTGAGGAACAGAAAATTACCTACTATACTGTATACTGTTAAGAGTTCTGTACATACTGTATTCACCCAGTTGCCAGGTAGAGGTCATTAACTGTATGTCTGTTTACAGAAGGTTCAGTCATGTTTTTCTGTGTAAGCAGAACACTGTAAGTGGTGTGTTTTTATTTATTATAAATACTGTATATTTTGAAAGTTGGAGATATTTGAACGTGCGTGGCATCGGTTAAGACTGTTTAGAGGGACCTTTTGAGAAAATGATCCACCGGCTGCTGCCACATACCGAATGACAAAGAATCTACCAGTACGGTAATCTGTAAATGAAATGCAAGATACTGAGGCTACAATTATTAATTGAACTGAGGTAGGATAACAGTTTATATGTATCCTGAATTTATGTGGTCTAATGTAATAACTTCATTACATTAAAGTTCACTATTTGAAATCTGATGTTTATTGTGACCTTTAATTCGCTGGTGTTATGTCCTAGAAAAAAAAGCTACTCAGGAAAGGAAGCTTTTGTATAACATTGTCCACACATGCATCAAAGAAAATTTTTTAATGCAACATGGGGGAGGAAAACAGATTAAGTCCTTCACATTTTCCAGGGTAAATATCTTGAATTATGACTGAATAGGGACCCTCTGGAGTGTAGCTCAACTTGACACAGAATGATGGATGCTTGAAATCACCATTACATTTGAGACAGTATGAAAGTAGCTTCATACTGTTTAAGTCAGACATGCAGCTTGTTTGAAAATGGTAGCAGAGCGGTAGGAGATGGAGCTAGAGGTGCTAGACCTGAAGATGCCGAGATTTTCATTGGAATTGACCAGATGAGTAGAGTTTCAGAGACAGCTGTTTGGAGAAAAACGTAGAGAAGTAAGGCTGACATGATTTGGACATTCACAGAGGAGGAATAGTGAAAATGGAGCTGGATGGCTAGAGGAAAAGAGCAAGGGTTGGTGTGATGGTGTGAAATATAATATATAATGATACCTGTTAAGCAGTTCGTTATATTTTTTGCTGTGTTTAACAACGTCTACATTTTTACCGGCTGTAAAACAAAACAAAACAAAAAAAATTATGTAGCCTAATAGCTGGATTATCTTAATTAGCTCAGATGTTACATTTTAATTTTGACCTAAGCATGTCCAAACCTTTACGATCAGTGGTAACAGACTATTGTTCTTCTTTATATTCCTACATGAAGTAAGGAAGTGCTGGAATTATCACCACCATATGCACACGATTACAAGTAAATATTTGAACTACTATGTCTACCGTCTGCTGGCTGTGGAGCGCGGATGGGGTTTCCATTCTGCGCATGCGCGTTCTCTATCCGTAATAGACCGGTGCAGGGAGACAACGGTAAGCACTGTTGACAGTGTTTTAATGAAAATCTTTATTACCTAAATAATTATAAATATTTAATGTAAATGTAACGTGCACTCTTAAATTGCATGCAAGAGAGAGCCTGCCGTCATTATGCTGTGTATTATTATGCTTTTAAAAGACTGGTTATTCACTGCAAGAGCCTGCGAGCTTAATTCGGGCCTCGCTTTCGACAACAAATCTAGCACGAGGCTAATCTGGCAACAAAGCTAACGATGCGAAAATGCTACGTGTTAGCTCTATATGTGTTGCTATCGTATCTGTCGTACAGTAGCCATGCTGCATTTTAATATATTTGCAGTTAAACTGGGGACTTTTGAAAGGTGCTGCCTAAGCAAAATTAACGTAGCTACAAAAGCTCGAGTCAGCTTGTTGTTACCTTCAACAATAACAACATTAGCTCACTAGACGAACGGAAACGTTAAGTAGCCTAGCTGCTCACGTTAGCATACTCTCAGTGAGTAGCTAACGTTAGCTGGACAGCCTTTGAGCCCGTTTTGGTTGCTGTGTCAGCATATGCTAATCTGAAGAGTCCTGGAGATAACTATGAGAACACTCTTTCCCACCTCATTAAATAATTAGTATAGTTTTCTTTTTGGATTCCCTCGTGTTGCCTTACTATCATAGAAACAGTATACTACATATGTGAAGATTATTTTGGCAAGTGCACTCAGCGTCAACATCATCACCATGAGCTGTGAGTAAGGTTCTGATAAATGTCTTTTCTGTAGACAGAAGTCAGTTTTTTTTTTTTATAGAAGGGAAAAATTGGCCTATCAGAGTTAAAATGCTTCACCGGACGTGGTTTTAGTCTTCATTTGTTGTTCTGTGCACCCTTGCCTTGCCCTTGTTATGTGTAACATGCTTTGCAAAGTAAATGGTGACATAAGTTAAAGCCAGGCCAGACTCCCTGCTTGAAATTCATGCAGGCTTTTGACTGTTATACATCCACCACAAGTAACATCTACTCTTGCACATGCAGTGTGTCACACAAAAACACAAGCTGGTACTCCAATAGGCACTTAAAGAGTAGCTGCTGGCATTCAAGCAAGTTCAAGTTCTGCCTCTAGAGTCATGACCGTGTGATCAAATTGCTACTAATACTCCTGATTTTTGGTTTATGTTTATAGTGATAGCATTGGCCTGGAGAAGAAAGGCTGCCCTTAATCTGAATGAGTCATGGCCCAGTTCGGGGGACAGAAAAATCCGCCGTGGGCGACTCAGTTTGCTGCCACAGCAGTGTCCCAGCCAGGCCACACAGGACAGTCTCTGGACCTCAACAGCCTGCACTGTGAGTATAGCAAAATCAGATCAAATGTCATTAGCACTTTACCCGGCGGTGCAATTACACTCACGTTTCACATTATACCCCACACCCTCACAGCTCTTGGAGTGCAGCAGCCGTCTCTTCTGGGAGCATCTCCTGCTGTTTACTCTCAGCAGTCAGCCTTGGCTGCAGCCTCTCTCAGCAACCAGTCTGCTGCAAACTATCAGCTTTCTCAGCAAACTGCTGCTTTGCAACAGCAAGCTGCAGCAGCCGCTGCAGCAGCATTACAGCAGGTCAGTCACAAAAGAGTAATGCTAAGCACAGTAAGACGTGTGTGTCTTTTCCCTGGTCACATTTGACGCTCTTTGCTACTGCCCCCCTTTTGTTTTTTTTAAATGTCCATAGTCTCAAATCAATACAGCGCTTCAGCAGTATCAACAACAACAACAGCAGCAGCAACAACAGCAACAGCAGCAACAACAGCAGCAACCTCCCCAACAACCCCCCCAGCAGCAGCTGTACAATGTACCTCATCAGGTATCTTGCCGGCCTTTACTTTTATTTGTGTCACACCTTATTTCCTTACATTGGAAAATATCCTTTTCAGTTTAGAATCTTATTGACATTGTGCTTTAAATTTAGATTTCTCTGATTGTTTTATATAGCATCACCGTATGATGTGTCACAGTAGACTGAACGGTCGTTTGGAAACTGACCATAAGTTTGCTGAATCTTAAAGTTTTGTAAGATCACTTTGAAATCTTTAAAATTAACATAAAATCCATTTCTGCTATTTTTTTTTAGCCACTTTTCGATTTTTTTCCCCAAGACAATGTAATGTAAATATGTAAATAAGGTAATTGTAATTTGATACGACTGCACAGCATGTTTACATCTTTCACTAGATGGATCGTATTATTTATGTTGTAAGAATCTGTTAGTGAGCAAACAGCTGTTGGGAGCATTATGACAGCACAAGATGTGTCTTTGCTTTGGGTGTAAATCTGTTGTTTCATTTCAACAAAAAGTTCACTTTTTTTTTCTCTTCTTAATTCAGCTTCCACAGCCTCAGCAGGCACTCATTTCTCAGGTAATGTGTTTACAAAAACATATTCAAACAAACTCAAGCTGCTACATAGGACAGATCTCGGTGTCTATCTGCCCTATCTGTTTACATGTTAGCTGGCAATTATGCTCGGTTGTGGACACAGACAAGGGCAGCTGCTCCAGATGAGGTGCAGCAGCTACACCCTGTCTGCTCTCATACTGTCACACTTTTTCAAGTGCTACAGTTTTTTTGTGGACGTTTGCACAGAGCATTTGAATAATCAAACTATCATTTAGGTTGAATTTTTTTCCAGATGACCATATCAAAGCATATTTCCTTATTATTTATTATTATTTTTAAGGTTCTTTTTCTTGAAGCTTTGTGTTTAATGCATATAGAAATAGAAAAGTTAGCTATCAAGCGATCTCCCTGGGAATTTTTTAGATATACCACTAAAATGTAATTTTAGTGTTTTGATTCTTCTTTCTTTTCCTGACCCTCAGCCCCCTGTCGCCCTGCCCACGAGCCTGAGCCTGTCTAACCCACAGCAGACAGCCCAAATTACTGTGTCTTATCCCACACCACGTTCAAGCCACCAACAGCAGACGCAGCCTCAGAAGCAGCGAGTCTTCACTGGTGTCGTCAATAAGCTGCATGACACGTTTGGCTTTGTAGATGAAGATGTCTTCTTTCAGTTAAGGTGAAAAAGGGTGGTCCTAACATCGCTCAGATTCTGTTACTTGGTGGTTTAATAAAATTAACACTTTCACTAGAAGTTTTTTAGTGTATAAATTGCACATACAATCCCTTTTCTTGCACCATTGTTAGCCTGCATAGGACCTTATTTATCATCCATAACTTAAAGAGCTACAAGTTTGCTTCTGTGAATCTGAAAATGATACAGCATTACAAACAGATTTTCTTATGTGTTTTTGTATATATTTGTATTTCATAGTGCTGTGAAGGGGAAGACTCCCCAGGTGGGTGACAGGGTCCTAGTGGAAGCTGTGTACAACCCGAATATGCCGTTCAAGTGGAACGCCCAGCGCATCCAGACTTTACCTCAACTAGCAAATCAGTCGGTGAGAATGTTCAAAGGTTGCATTTTGGAGCACAGCATTACAGTTTGTGGCTTTGTATTGTATTGAAATGCATACTTTCAGCTTTAATTTAAGGAGTTTCACAAACGCATTGTATTTCAAATGTAGAGGTATTTATACAGTCCCTGATTCTGAGAATTAGGAACTTTACTTTTTTTCATATTATAATCACAATTATATCAGCACCAGTGTTTTCATGGAGTTCATTATAAAGTTAAGCACACAAACCTTTTACTGGTTTTAGTGTTTAAGTCCTTATTTACTGTAATAAAAATCATATCACTTGTTCATGTTTGAATAAACTCCCACTGTTGCAAAGTGTTTAAATGCAATTTAGCGCTTAATGCACAGCAAACACATTCTCATCATCTGAAACTGGTGGGGTTACTTCCAATTACAACAAATGTGCTCAGACTTTCTAGTCTTGCTATGAGTGTTTATTTATTTTATTTTTCCTTTTCAAAAAAAATTCTTAGTCCTGCTTTCTTTTTTTTTTTAACTGTTGTGTTTTCCATCCCTCCTAGCATCAGCAGCAGCCTCAGCCTTTACCTCAAGCTTCCCCACAGCTCGGCAGCCTTTACAATGAGCCAGGGATGCAGCTGCGCTACTCGGACATGCACACCACTGCGGACAACAGACAAAATGTAACCCCTTAGATGTGAATCACAGACTTTTTGTGTTCTTTCTCTCGGCTTGTTTTTTCATTTTTGTTTTTTTTGTGTTTTTTACTTTGAAAGTGGTGAGCAAAATGCCAAACCTGGCTGCTCACTAAGTATATTAAATGTCTTTACAAATACGCTTCTTGATGACAAATATCATTATACTAATCATTGTCTTTTAACGTGAGAAAGCATCATGATTTTCTGACAGTATAAAGCTGTACATCAGAGATGTCTCTTAAACTGACAGTAAACAGGGCCTCATATATTTCTTATCAAAAGGTTTTTCCTTTTAACAAGTCAGAACCTGCTGTATTACTTTTAGCAGGTTAACTGAAATAACTTTGAGATCAAAGCTGCACGTCAGCTTTCCTTTGATTAGGACAACCTTTAAGGAAACCCCTGTTGAGATTTCTACAAGTCTTTGATTTAAACATATTCAGACCTTCTTCTAAGCAGACCAAGATTTTATTTGTTGCACAGCTGGCATGTTATTGATCGTTTCATGTCTGCATTTAAAGATTTTTTTTAACCTCCTTTTTCTTTGTTACTTTTTATGTAGAACCAGCCTCAAACTTCGAGCATGATGAAGGCAGCCCCCACCATGCTGCAGTCACTACCTCCCCCGACCACATTCAGTGTTCCAGCCCAGGCTCCCCCTCCGTCTCTTCTGCAGGCACAGCTGTCTGCTGCTTCTCTTGCCCCTCTTCTCCAAAACCCTCCTCAGCCTCTGCTGCCACAGCCTCCGCCCAAAGGTACAGTACTTGTCAGTGGCATTTATCTAGCGTTTCCTTGTAAAGCAGTCTGAACAACTAGTAATGATGAGTGTTATTTGTGCTGCTGTTTTGGTACCACCTTTGAACACAGAATAGTATGTGTAGTAAGGAAGTGGTTTGCATTCTTGTCATTGCCAGAAGTGTTTCCCGGGGGTCTCCTCCAGCCCCCAGTGAGAATGATGGCACAGCCGCAGCCTGTCCGAAGAATTGAGCCTCCGCCTCGTTTCCCCACTCGCAGCGATCGAGGCCCTGAGCTCATCCTCAGGACTAAAGAAGAACGCAGGTGAGATGGCAGTTACCATATAATTACTACATCATACGCCTATTCCACATCCATTTCATCCTCCTGTTCATTAGAAGTAATAAGTCATTAAGTTTTTAAAAAATTGATTCTTTAACAGAGACAGAGACCGTGAGCGCAGGCGATCAAGAGAACGGTCACCCACACGCAAACGTTCCAGAGACCGTTCACCGCGACGTGACCGCTCCCCAAGACGGCCTCGCAGAGTTGTACCTCGCTACACTGTCCAGTTTTCCAAGTTCAGCTTAGATGGGTATGTATATTGTTTCCTTTGTTAAAAACACATCATCCTAGATATGCCACATGTTAGCATAATACTGTACAGCAGGATGTGGCGCCCCAGTTTGAAATCTGAAAGCCTTCTTGTGTTCTGCAGCTCCAGCTGTGACATGATGGAGCTGAGGAGGCGCTACCAGAGCCTCTACATTCCCAGTGACTTCTTTGATGCTGTCTTCACCTGGGTGGATGCCTTCCCTTTTACGCGACCCTTCCAGTTTAGTAACGCTTGTAACTTCCATATTTTGCACAAAGAGGTGGATCCTCTAGTCAAGAACACGGCTGTGCTGGACCCTCCTGACGCCAACCATACCTACAGTGCTAAGGTATGACTGCCAGTGCTAAATAAGTTGCAATAATATAAGTAATGTAAAAAAACTTTTCAAATAATAAACTTAACAGTAATCAGCTTTAACTGCAGTGTGTATATCATAGCACTGCAGCATTAAAGTGAAAGTAAATCAGAAAATGATAGGCTTGTATATAGTTGTCATGTTTGAGCTGTGCATATGTCATCTTTAGGTGCTTACAGAGGTACATACCCTACAGCCAAAAAGGCTTCATATACCATTCATTCTGTTAAAGCTGGTAATGCTAAATGGCAGCTAGAGGTGTGCAAGCCATCACCCACAGCTTTTCAACTAATCCTTGACTGTGACTGTTAACCCTCTATAGTAGGAAATGTTATGTTGGTATTTGTAGTATCTTTGTACACCTCTGACACAGTGTAAAGAGTGTGAATAGTAACAGCTGCCATCATAAGAGCCTCCGAATGAAGACGTGTATTTTCATAGGAACGCATTAGTGAGACAAAGCAGTGATGAAGAGGCATAATTACTGACTGAACTCTGACATTTTATACAAAGGGAATGCAGACCATAAATTGTGTAAAACATGGCATTTGACTTAAATAGTATAGTAAGGATTATAACTTTAATGTGTCCTCTTCCATTTTTCAGGTGATGCTGCTGGCTAACCCCAGTATAGAGGAGCTCTATCATAAGTCCTGTGCTCTGGCAGAGGACCCACAGGAAGTCAGAGACTCCTTCCAGCATCCTGCTAGACTGATTAAGGTATGTCAAACCCTTTAGAATGCACAGGAGCTGACGATGATGTAGTAATCCTATTCCATTGCTGAATACTCAGTGTGGAAAGCTATAAACTGATGTCAGCTCCCTTGTGTTAATTTACCTGTGGTGTATTATTTGTTTCACCTTTCCCTGAAAGCTATTTCTAATGCTGCATAGTACAAACAACAGTGAGATCAGAGATAGATTTTTATTGTCAGAGCTCACTTTACAGTGACAAATAGAGTTGACAGTAAGTTTCTTTTCTTGCTCCAAGTCTGCCTTGATGGCTTTTCAGTGTGCCACCAAGAACCAACAGGCTGCTTCAGTGGGAAAATTAGCTACATTTTTTGGAGGGCGGATCATCAGCATCAGAATTCCTACAAAGCTTGTGGAACTGCAGTCACGCACATTAGCCGCCATCTCTGGAGAACAGTTACACTGACAGCTTGTTGGGTTTGCATCTGATAACATAGTTGCTATTGTGGGCCAGTAATATTAAAAGATTAATAGACCAGTGCTAACCTGAATATCGCTCACTGTATGAATGACAACTTCATGATGCTGTAAAACGGGGGTTGCATCTTATGTCTGGAGATTTTGTGTGTGTGTGTTACTTTGTCTTTGTATTTGTGCTTTTGTGTGTGTGTGTGGTTTGTGTGTGTGTGTGTGTGTGTGTGGTGTGTGTGTGTGTGTGGTTTTTTTGTGTTTTGTGTGTGTGTGTGTGTGTGTGTGTGTGTGTGTGTGTGTGTGTGTGTGTGTGTGAATAGGGGCGACCTGCAGGGGGAATTCATTCTGGCATTTACATTTCTGTGTTATGTTTGAAGCATCCTCTGTGTCTGCAAGAGGAAAGGTCAGAAAATGAGAATATTGCACAAATTTATTAGACGTGTGATTATTTGGACATACTGCTGATGCTTTTCTGTTTTTGTCTCTATTCTCTTTGCTCTTTCCACTCTCCGCACCTTTGTTTCCCATATTCCTATTCCCCATTTCCATCTAACCTGTACTCTGTGGCTCTCCTTGCACCTGTCTTTTTCTCCTTCAGTTTTTGGTGGGCATGAGAGGTAAAGATGAGGCCATGGCCATTGGTGGTCACTGGTCTCCATCTCTGGATGGAGCGGACCCAGAAAAGGATCCATCAGTCCTTATTAAGACAGCGATACGCTGTTGCAAGGCCCTCACAGGCATAGACCTTAGTCTGTGCACTCAGTGGTAAGCTCCGCTACTCTCATCAGTATTTATTGTTTTCACTGGTTGTGTTATAATTCTTAACGTTGTAACTGAAATCCTAAATTATCTGTAATGTACTGCATCTTTATGCTACCTCGATACTAAATCTTTCCTGGACATGTAGAGTGTGGTGTTCCGTTTTGTTTTAATTTTTGTTATATTAATGATTATTGTGCTGTTAATTTGCAATCTATTATTTACTATTATAATTTTTTGTGTTGTGTAATGTTGTTTTTTTTGGCCTTTTGTGTGTTGTAGTCTTGGCTCTCTCTTTCTGTCACACACTCTTATTCATATACACACATTTCATTGTGATGAAAAACCAAACGCATGGACTTGGTGGCTGGAAGCAGTAGCCTGGACCAGAAGACACTGCCATTACTTTTTGTTTTTCTTTTCTTTTCTTTTTCTATTCTCTCTGTTAAATATCTTACATATTTAACTGGCTTTCACTGTCCTGTTGATTCTGTCTCTCTTCACACAACCCTAATGTAGTACGTCAAGTGCATCCTAGGGCAAATGCAGAGTACTCATCCATAATTGGCTGAAGCTATAATGGGGATGAATTTTGGGGGTGTGATTATTAATTTTTTTTAATTTTTAATTTTCCTGTGATTGTCTGTCAACTTTTTCAAAATGGCTGCCATAACCTGTGCCAACAGTCGGAGAGCTGCAGACTGGGTCCATTTGTCTATGCTGTGTGTTGTGTGGGAGAAGGGTCACTGTAATGACCTGTACGATCATTGAGTGACCTGATGGGAGGGAGTAGCTGTAGAAGGCTCGCCCAATAGCAAGGCTTGCCTTTTATACTGTGCCCTGACCAGAATGTTTCTTTCCAATGCACCTTCTTCCTTTGCGACAGGTATCGTTTTGCAGAGATTCGCTATCATCGGCCAGAGGAGACACACAAGGGGCGGACAGTCCCTGCTCATGTGGAGACAGTGGTTTTGTTTCTTCCGGATGTTTGGCATTGTCTTCCTACCCGCTCAGAGTGGGAGGTGCTGTCACGGCGACTCCGGGAGCAGCTGGCTGAGAAGCTGTCGGCCGAGCGAAAGGAGGCAGATGGAGAACAGGCACTGAACCGCTAATCCCTCTCTTCTCATTTCCGCTTCTCACAGGAAGGCACAGGACTTACAAAAAAACAAACAAAAAACAAAAAACCCCAGACACACACACACAAAATACAAAGCACACCTCACCTTGCACGCACACAGATACGAACCCAGGCATATTACGGCTCCACCAAACCTCACCTAGGTTTCTTCTGTTTATTCCTCCACCTGTCCCCTTTTCCTCTGCTCCAACTCCTCCATTCCTCCATCAGCACTCCCACCTTCCCTCACATCCAGCAGACACACACAGTGGAAGCAGTGAGACTAGGTTGTGTTGTGTAGGCCCCGGTCGCAAATGGTAAAACAGCTTCCAGTTGCTTAAACACCACAAAATTGGGTGCTAATCTTGTTCAGTATTTTATGTTAATGTTGGCATTTGTTTTGCATTATTATAAAAAGGCATCTGCTTGCAGATTGATTGAGAATGAGTTTAAATTTGAACCAGTGATCAATTTTTAACACTGGGACCCATCATTTACAAACGTACTGGAATCTGTGGAGTCAGTTGCGCTCACATAATGTGTTTGTTGTAGAGAAATGTGTATTTCTATATGATTTTTCACATCAATTTGATATCGTCTGACTTCGAAAAGAGAACCTCCCCCAAGTCCTGCTTCTTGTCTGTTCTTGTTGTTGGATTCTACACTTTCATTTGGACTATATGTAGAATTTGGTTTTTCCAGGGCAGTTGGTTGGACAGAAGGACACATGGCTCAAATCTGACGTAGGTGTATAAAACCCATAAATGGCAATACCCCAGTCATAGAGCATGGTAGGGCCAGCCTATCCTCACTCCGTTTGGAGGCCAGCTTCATTCACCTGATGTACCTACACACCTTTTGGACACACCTCTCATTGATTTTTACCTTTTTTGTGTTCCACAGATTGATTGATTGGCAGCTGGGGGGGAGCATTTCTGTTGTTTTTTTTATTATTATTTATTTAATTTTATTTATTTTTTTATAAGAGCTAGAGAGCTTCCCTGTGTACGCTTCAGTAGCAGTGGACTTAAACACAGTCGAGAGCTCACTAGGACAAGAGAATGAAAGACAAATGAGGCCTTGCTTCTTGCACGGATCAACTTTAAAGCTCACTAGGACCATGAGTGCTATGCTGACTGTTTGTTATCCCACCTCTTTCTCTCCCTCTGCCTGTCTCTATCTTAATGATTTCCTGTCAAGGAGGAAGAGGAGAAGGATGACGATGATTTAAAGGACGTTAGTACTCCCACTCACTGGGCTAAACTTGACCCGAAATCAATGAAGGTGCGTAAAGCTGGTGCAGGTATGAGTAGAGACCAGGACGAGAAATGTTCAACTTGCTTTTTCATGTCTGTTTTCTCCACTTGTAGGTAAATGACCTGCGCAGGGAGCTCGATTGTCGCTCTCTAAGCTCTAAGGGGTTAAAGTCACAGCTGATTGCTCGCCTCACCAAACAGCTAAAGGTGGAGGAGCAGGTAGAGGAGTCCAAGGAGCCCGAGAAAGTAGAGACCAAGGATGTGGAGGAAGAGGAGCCAGCACGCACTGAGGATGACAGAGAGGTACGGATACATTTTTTTTTTAAGCCTTTTATATATAACAAAATCTTTTCAGTAATTAAGGTTAATTTTAAATTCCACCTGATGGATGCTTTTGTCTGTCAGGAGGAGGAAAAGAAGAGGCAGGAGGAGCTTGAGCGCCAGCGGAGAGAAAGGCGCTACATCCTTCCTGATGAGCCTACCATCCTTGTACACCCAAACTGGGCAGCCAAGAACGGCAAATTTGACTGCAGTGTCATGTCCCTGAGTGTGTTACTGGACTACAGACTAGAAGACAACAAGGAGCACTCATTTGAAGTGAGAATTAATGCTCTGGGGTTTGTTACAAAGACCAGCAAACACACACGTGTGATGTGTGTGTTTGCTTTCTTTACAGGTTTTTTAATATACTGTCTTCTTTCTGTACAGGTTTCTCTGTTTGCTGAGCTTTTTAATGAGATGCTGCAGAGAGATTTTGGTTACCGCATATATAAAGCCCTCGCTGCGCTTCCTACCAAGGACGAGAAGAAGGAGAAGAAAGCCAAAAAAGAGGCTGAAAAGAAAGAGGCTGAAAAGCGTGAAATGAAGAAGGAGAAAGAAGAAGAGAACGAAGAACCGACAGCAAAGAAGACCAAAGAAGATGAGGAAGAGAAGAAAAAGGTTTCTGCAGCTTTTCAGGTTTTTACTGTTTGTCTGATAAATGTGAGTTTTTATGTCATTGTCATTTTTTTTAAATTAGTCTGAAGAAAAGACAGTGAAAAAGGAGGAGTCTCGAGATGAAGAGGAGAATGAAGATGATGGCAGCACAGCCAATGCTGAAGAATATGATCCCATGGAGGCTGAAGATGCAGATGATGATGAGGATGATGGTACTATACTCTTCTTGATTAAATGAATGATTTGGAACTGTGTACTACTTGGGATATTTTCTTTTCACAAAGACACAAAATGGTTTTAAAAAATAATATTTCTGATTGTTTATTAGACAAAGATGATGACGACTCCACTGACAGAGACAGAAAAGACCGCAAAGATGACCGAAAATCATCGAAAGAGAGGTCCTCCAAAGATAAGGTTGGCTCTATGTTGTTATAGACACGTTGGTGAGGTGTAGATGTTGTTCAGAAAGTTGTTTTTTTTAATGAGCGTGGTTGTCGTTACACTAGGAAAGGAAACAGATGATCACGCACAACAGGGAGCTGCTGATGGCGTTTGTCTACTTCGATCAGAGCCACTGTGGCTATTTACTTGAGAGAGACCTGGAGGAGATCTTGTACACACTGGGACTGCATCTCTCTCGTGCTCAGGTGAAAACACAAGCACATGGTCTTTCTGGTTCTGTGATTCTTACCCTGTCAGACCTTCTTTTTCACTTTGCTTTAAGACACGTACCGTCAACCTTACAGCTCAGTAAATCTGTCTTGTTGATTTCTGTTTTCAGATAAAGAAGCTTTTGAACAAACCTGTTGTCAGAGAATCGTGTTACTACCGAAAACTGACAGACAGGGGAAAAGATGAACCCATTCCTTCTTTCAATGAAGCCCAGATTGAAAATCTCACAGGTAAGCCTGAAGATATTTCTATTAGTGTGTCCTTTAATTTTCCATAAATTTCATTTAAGCAGGATAGAGCGACGGATGCCAAATGACTTTATTTTGTATCACATTTCCTTTCTTAAGGTAACCGAGGACTGCTTCCTGCTTCTAAAACTCGTGCTCAGTCAGAGGCCAGCGAGTCTGGTAACCTGATCGTGTATAACGGAGCTATGGTTGACATCGGCAGCATGATGCAGAAGCTAGAGAAGAGTGAGAAGGCGAGAGAGGAAATAGAGCAGAAGCTTATGTTGCAGGATACTAAAATGGGTACGTTTTGGATTGCATTATATGTCCTAAACTGCAAGCTACACTCTGTGTCAGTAGTCCCTCGGGACAATGATCTGGCTCAATTTGAGCATTGCTACAGAGAAGCTCAGTCTCACTTCATTCTCCAGACCGTCCTTCTGTGATGTCTGGTGAAACGTGAACTGGCACATTGTATGTTGGATGGCAAAGAGGAGTCTGCAAAACTGAGTTTATTGTAAATTCAAACTGGAAATTAGTTAAAAGTTTGACTGTAACATAAACACAAACACAGTCTTCAAAAAAAAGGCAGGCAGTGTAGGACTGAACCTTATTTTCCTGGCAGAGAACAGACAGATTTACTTCACTACAGTATACGTGCAGGAGTGTAAACAAGTTAGAGCATATGTAACATATTATTAATCTACAGGAGAGGAGTCTTCCTACTGCCCATACCCCATATTTTGCCCTTACCACATGTTTGTGAATGTTTAATGTTGGCATTTATAGACGCTGATGTTTACTGCCAGTCCACGATGTCCACGACTGAGCTGTTTCTTTGCTGTTGCGAGGATACCGCCACATTGGTTGCTTATGATTACACTGACATGGAAGAAATACTAAAACACAGGCATTCATAAAACATTAATGAGAGGTTACTGACCAGCTGTGCACATATTGTATAACAATCGTTTGTTAATCACAAACTGACAGCACAGACCTTTGTCACCAAGATGGTGGACTAACTTGAGAGGCAGTTAAATGTAGTGTATAGTTACGATGATTGGACGTTTTATTAGGTACACCTTGCTAATGTTAGGTTACATTCGTTGGCTGTAAGGAGTTGTTTTGGTGTGTGACAATCCCAGTAGATCAGCACTTTCTGAAATACTTCTGCAGGTCATCTCGACCTTGTTGCTAACATGTAACTGGCTGATTAGATATTTGTGTTAATGAGCAGTTGGACAGGTGTACCTAATAAAGTGGCTAGTTTTTACAGACTTCAGTGGGACACGCTGCTGTTTCCAGTTCCGATTTCATGTTTTACTGTGACCAGCGTTTGCCCACTGACCTGCTGTCTCTGTGATCCTGACTTGGTGTTGATTCTTTATCGCAGACGAAGACGCAAAGGTTAAAGCTCAGCTGGATCAAGCCAACAAATCTTTGTCGAGGGAGCTGGAGGAGGTGAAAAGCACTCTGAGCCAAACCGAGCAGACTCTGAAGACTGTGGAGGAAGAGAAGAAAGTCTACCGTGAGCTCCTGAGCAAATCAGCAAACTCACTGATGTCCACTGTGAAAGGAGTGCTGGAAGTGCTGAAGAAGGTGCAGCATGTTTAATCATAATGTCCTCCTGATTTCCATACACCTGTGGTCCTCAGGGGTCAAAAATGTCCCCACTTCATTTGAGTGTTTTTGTTTTGTTTTTAAAGTATAAATTGTCAATCTGTTCAGTGTTGCATCTTAGTTTTACTTAAGACCAACACTAACACAAAATTGACCCTACATTTTAGGGCCACCAGACCTTGTTTAGATAAAGTACACTCTGTTTTTGAGCGAAAATAAAACAAGACAATAAACTATTTAAACGTTTAGATAATTTTGACTATCTGACTAACTACAGAGTGCTGTATGTTGAACTTTAGTAAGAAAGTTTTTTTTTTTGAACCACTTAAAATTTTTAAATGGGAGCACGTAATCACACCCGTGGTCCTCAGGGGTCAAAAATGGCCCCATCTGGTTTGATTGATACTTAATTAACATGAAGTGGATTTTCCCCCCACTTTTATTTAAAACTTAATTCAAACATTTTGACACTATTTCTTTATTCCATTTCAAATTTATGTCTGATAAAAGCTCATTTATACGAAATGTTTCTTTGTTTTCGGGTAAAAAAATTAATTAAATGATCAGTTATTGTGATTATCGTTTCACAACCAGAGTCGGTTGTTTTAACAGAATAAAACAGACGGGGATAATCAAAGTTAATTTAGAAAGCTGTTTTTAAACTACAAGTTTTTTGTGAAAATATGGCCCCTTGCAACACTTTGTACTTTGAGGTCATTTTTGTCCACGAGGACCACAGGTGTTATAAAATCCGATAAAAACCCCATAAATAAATCAAATTACTTAAAATTTATTCCAATCATGCGTAGCATAGTAATGAATAACTTCTGTTATTTTCAGACCATTTGATGAATAAAAAAACACATTCCTTTAGAGGACAAATGACCCAAGGACAACACAAGGGTTTGTTTACCTCGATGGAGGAAATGAGCTCATATTCACTTTACTGCTTTTTCCTTTACAGGATCAGGACATAGACGAGCCTGGCAGCGAAGTCGCCGCTGATCGCAGTCGGACATCCCAGACGAACGGCGCAGATTAATAAGTGACAGATTTCAAAGGAATGAAGCTAATCAGTACTGATTATCTTAAACTGTAAATATTCACTACACGAGTAATTTGACTGTGTTATATTTGAACCCGTTGTCTCCCAAGTATGTTTAATTTAATGAATTAGTTCCCTTGTAATAATTTGACCACCTCCTCTGTTTCTGAGGAGTTACTTTTCTTACTTAGAGTAATTTTAACGATAACAAAGCTTTGAAGCGCTTATTTTCAAAGTGATTTGAGTTGCTAGCATCTTTTTGCCATCGCGTTTGCTTTGCTAAGGCCGCTCAAGTGCCACTCTGTAGATTTAAATGCAGGCGTGTGTGTGTGTTACTTGAGTCTTGTTTTTTTTTTTTTTCTTCTTCTAATGAGCAATAATGATGCTATTTATGTGCGAGAGTATTCATAAAATATTTAAAAGAAGCTAATTTTGGATGGAAGGAAGTGTTGGAGTGTTCCCGTGTGCTTCAGACAGAAGCACTTCCTTAACCAGCCCCTCTTTATTTCTCACAGCTCTGCTCGGTTTGTAGTCCTTTGGCTGGTTTAACAGGTTTCTGCAGGATTTTTTTCCCCCACACACACGGCTATGCATGGTTCCTGCCTGTCATGGACTTTTTTTTTCTGTCTCATTGTATCCACCAACTTCTGCGCTGCCACTTTAATGTTTTACTGTGACCAGCGTTTGTCGTGTTTTCTGCTAAAGGAAACTAACACATGAACCAAAAGTTAAGCTTAATGAATGTGTGTTCTGCTGAAGGAATGAACACTTGAGATCCATCTCTAAATTGTGTGCATTGGTTTGGGTTCTTAACAAGAGGCACAGTTGCGTTTTAAATGTGCTCCAAAGCAGGCGATTTTATTTTTATATTGAAAATGCGCTCTATGGATGTCTTGTGCAAGAGTAAAGTGGTCCATTTTAACACTACAGTGTGTCTGCATTTCTTTTCCCCACTGTTTGTGTCACAGCAGGTATTTTGACTTGTCTTTATAGAAAAAAATGTTATTTGTTTATTTGCAAAGATAAGAGCACACTGAAAGAGATGAAAACTTAATAGAGCAGCTGCTGTGTGGGTTGCAGTGTTACAGTGCTGACCAGCAGATGGCAGTAGAGTTGTAGCTACTGGAAACTAGATTGATTTGAGAGATTAAACCAGGTTTAGTCCAACTCGTAGACTAGTTAGATACATGTTAGACAACTTTGAGCATTTTTAAGACGTAAAATTAAATACAACCATGCCAGCAGTGCAGTTTTAACAATCGGTGATACTCCCGTTAACCGCAGTTCCCTCACAACAAAGGATAGAGAGAAAAAAATGACTCATAATTTACAAAATAACTATTTTATGAAATCCACGTCATCATCCATAAGAAGCTGAGAAACATATTAGTTGCAGGAGCCAAGGTGATAGTTCCATTTATATCCTCAGCACCAGGAAGCTTTTCCTGTTTAGACAGAGCTTTTTCTGGAGGAGTAAACACAACTGAGTAGGTAGATGCTGCCACTCTGACTCATTCAGGTCAAATGGTTAAAAAATTAAACTTTCTGATTTTTCTTAAAACAATGCATACAATTCTCTTATCAGATTTCAAAGATCTCTGATAATTACTCTGGTGTGATGATTTTATGAAGTTTAAAAGATTTTGTTTTTTGGTAGCAGTTTCTGTTCAAGCTCAGTAATAATGCAGTAATGGTGGTGTAATAAGGTTAAAACAAGCAGGTAATGGTTTTGAAATGGGAAGTTACTACTACTTAATTACAGTGTTGTCAACGTAACAGCAAGCTAATTCTCTTGCATCAACAGTGCTGAGTCATATTACATTGAAATTTATGTTATATCCAAAAACTCGAGAGTAATTGCAAATATATATATGAGACAAGCCAAGTGTTACATTTTTCCCCCACAACAGGTGTTTCTGTTTCATCATCCTTTAAATCAGCAAGTGTAAAAACATCTCTGCATAATGCAGCACGCAGGGCTACAAACACCAGCATCCAACAGCAATGGGGCTGTTTAATAAACCTTCCCAGCTATTTACAACAAAAACTGATCGATCTTCTTCTCACAGCTTCACAAAGTACATGTGTTTATACTCACTGCTTCTGCACAGAGTGAGCTAAGGGGTTTTATTTCTGCCATCATTTTCTCATTTCTAATAGAAAACCTTTTTTTGTGGATGGATCCACATATTTGATTTGGGCCGTCCTGAAACAACCCTATGATGGATTTGAATTTTCAGAGGCAGAGCCTTCAGCTGTTAGTCCTCTCTACTATGGAACCAGCTCCCAGTTTTGGGCTCGGTGTGGACACCCTCCACTTTTAAGAAAGTCTTAAAACTTTGATAAAGGTTATAGTTAAGGTTGGATCAGAAGATCCTGAACCATCTGCTCCAATAGGCTTTGGGTGCTGGGTGAGTTCCCATAATGCCCTGAGTGTTTCTTCTTCTCTCCTCCCTTTTCACTCTGTATTGAGACACGACTACTCTAGTAAGCCTTAGCAATTATTAAACTCTGACTCTCTCACCTATAGTTTACCTTTGCTCTCTTGTTTTCCCCTCACTCCCACCCAATCACGGTGGATGGCTGCCCCTCCCTGAGCCTGGTTGTGTTGGAGGATTCTTCCTGTCAAAAGGGAGTTTTTCCTTTCCACTGTTGCCAATGCTTACTCATAGGGAATTGTGTGATTGTTGGGGTATCTTTCTAATATTGTAGGTCCTCAGAATAAAACTCCTTGAGGCAACTGCTGTTGTGGATTGGTGCTCTGTAAATAAAACTGAACTGTCTTTTAGTGAATCATGGATCTACACTTCTCCTTTACTGGAGGTCTGTTGGTTCCAGTGAAAACCTCACAAGCCAACTGCTCATCAGCCTCTATTAGAAATACAATTTACTGTATTTCAATGCAAAGCTGTGCGTATTTACATTTATTTGACTAATTTACTTATTTGCTTTCACGTGACTCAGGTCACTTTTAATTAAAGTGTAAACAACACAAACCACATAAAATCTTTTAAAACTTTTTTTTAAGTTCTGATTTGGTCCCCCTTCTTTACAATCTGACCTCAGGCTGAAGTGTCAGATCACACATCATGTGACTTTAACGCTAAGCTCCCAACATCAACATCTCGACTCTGGTGAAGAGGTGTTGAGGTTGTCTAACACAACATTTTAGATGAAAATCTGTTTGTGTCACAAAAAGGAAGGAAGTTTGCAAGGAAATGTGAATAGCTGAAGCGATTTATTAAAACATCTGCAAGCGTAATTAGAAATACAGTATACAAGGCAAAAAAAATGACTTTGAGAGTCAATATTAGGTATGAGGACCTTTACAGTCCAAACATCCTTATGCAGGTTTCTTAAATTATCTTTAAGTAGTGTTGAGGAATAGTTCTCCAGGCATCTTGCAGGACATTTAAAGTTCTTTTTTGGATGCTATTCTTTGTTCTGCTCTCTGTCAGGATGATCCCACACTGTAGAGGTCTGGGTCCTGGAGAGGCCAGTGCATGACTGATAATGTTCCACTGTATTTGTGCCATTTTTGCCATGCTAAAAAATTACTCTGTTGCCAATCGGATGCTTTCTAGATGGTATTTCATGGTGGATCAAAATCTGATGTTAATTTTCTGAGTTCATAATTCCAGCAATTTTAAAAAAAATCTCCAACACCACTGTCTGAAATGCAGCCCCATTATCTGAATGAAGACCATTATCTGATCAGTTGCTCTCTAAGGGGTCAACCCCCCTCCCCCTATAATCCTGTTTCTTCAGACAAAAAGGTTTTTGTTTGCCCCTCCAACCTGGGACTGTGCTACCAGGTGATGGATCTAAGTGGAGAAAAGTGCACTAAAACTAAAACTTAGACATCATTGAAGCGGACGTGGAGCACACCCAGGTTTTCTGCAGGCAGAGGTCCATACACTGACAGGCGAGATAACGTAATGGACTCAAGAGGAGAGCACAAGAGTGGCTGCCACGCATTTATCAGATGTGGTATCACTGAAGATGTTAAGGGTGTGACCGGAGTGTTTATCATGTAGAGCAGAGTTTGTCTGAGCATTTTCCTCCCACCACTCTAACACACATTCATTCATGTTCTTTAATAAAGCAGAATGTTGCTTTCTTTGTGCCTTTTATGCTTTTTCTTATATTTTGTCATACATATGTATAAATTAAACGTGCATTGCAAATAATGAAGTCAGCATATGTTCAAGTTATCACTGTGAGGGACATAAACAGGCCTCAGGCTGCTCTGTGTGATCAACTTGAGAGACTTTTTTAAGGCTTATTTTGAACATGCAAAGCTACTCTTCTACATGTCCTCTAGATGTAGGTCCTCTTTAACGTGCTTTTAGTGATTAATCATTTTATCTCTCATACTTTTCTGCCTGTGTTGTCGCAGGCAGCTGCAGACACTGTCCAGATGTGGAGTCTAATCTGTTATTTTATACTCCATTTAGACCTCATTAGTATCCAGTGTGATTAATTGAGATTCTACCCCAATTTTTAATGTAATCCCACTGCTCGGCTGTCCCACAAAGCATCAGAGGCGCTGCAGCTGTGGAACTGACAGCTAAATTTGTTCCCACCAAGAAACAGAGCTAGTGCACACTGGGGGAAAAAAGAGAAAGGGTTTACTTAGCAGGACACATCTCAGAGTGTTTCCAGCAGCATGTCTATGTCATTTCCAAGAGAACAATAACTATCTGTCACCCGGTACTTTGGTTATGTAGCTGCTTTTGTCCTGTTGTCATGCTCTGAATGCTCCACAAACAAAACTCATTTGTCCCCCAAGGAAACACGCGCACACTTTCTCGCCTCTCAAACTCCTGTGTGTGTGTTTGTGTTTGCACTTAATGTGCATGCTTATGCGTCTGCATGCACATGTGATGTGTGAAATTAGACCCCGTCAGCAGAGAGCGGGCCAGGTAACCCCACTCCCAGGCTGCAACAGAAGGCTTTTGTGGCCACTTCCCCACCCCTACTCTTTAACCCCCTCTGCCATTAAAGAGCTGCTGAACTCACAGGTAGACAATCAGGCCATTTCGAGGCATGCTCTAAGTTTTCAGATACGGGGCGCACACAGAGTTGTCTTAGTAACTGATCACTATGCCCCCTCGCTCCCCCACCACCTCCTCTGATCCCTCACTTTTTGTAATGATCAGTCCTCTGAAGTCTGAGGGTGCGGCTGTGCAGCATGTGCAGATGTAGCATGACGTTACACGTCTCTGGTTTACTTCCTACATGTCCTCGCCCTCGTAGCTTTATTTAAATTCTCCTCCCTTTCTCATCATCACTTTGTGAAATCACCCGTTTCCATCAGCACCCTCCAGTCTGCGTGTCAAAAGTTCAGAGTTGTAGTTATCATGACAAAAGCAGCTGCCTCACACAGCGTAATCCCAAAAGGCCGGCTTTTCAAAACCAGCCCGGAGTCCCTGTTTGTTAGCCTTCTGTGTTGGCAGAACACAAAACTTAATAAAAAGGAAGGTTGCAGCTAAAATGTAACAAAACAAGCTTATATCTTACAAAGCTATGTTTGTCTTTTTGTGCCAAAAAGTCTTCTTTAACCTCAAAGTAAGTGAACCTAATTCTCTGAACTCCCTTTCACCTTGAAAACTGGAGACATTTTTCTTGCTGGTTATTGTTTAGCAGCATTGTGGAGCAAAGAATTGGACTTCCTGGGCGATGAATTATGATTGAGATAAATCTTTCAGGCGACAAATGATCCAGCTTCTCTCCCAAATCCTCTGGGATAAATAAACCTTTTCTCACTCTTTTCACATTTATACTTTTTTCCTTCCCTTGAAATCTTTCTGACCACCAAAGTCAAACAAACAAGTCAACCGCCCTCTTATGTGCTGTTTGATATTTCAGGTAATTGATACTCAGAGGCTCCATTGAGCAGCTTTGCTTGTCTCCCCGGCAGCCTGCA